TACATATGATTCATGCCCAAGGGTGATGTTCATTTACAAAGAATACATGATGAGGGTGAGATTAAAATACAGAAGTAGATGCCCACTGAACCGTTTATGATGTGTATTTTGAACTGTAGGTCAATGACTGTAAATGATGTTTCTGATCTTAATGTTTGCAAGATTGTTGACGTATAGTATAGGGCGAATTCAGGTAAACTGGGACACTTTTTTTGTCACTGAGATGACTGAGAAAAATGTCACAAACTAATTCACCCCAATATATCTCATTATGAAGCAAATTGTACTTGTTATACTAGTTTTTAAGTTTGTCTGATTTATGGCATGTAATAAATGTATTTCTTGGTTATTATTTTACATGGTGGAAATATTTGAAGAGAGTGTAAAAAGTGTGTTTAGGAGTCCACAGGTCCAAAAGTTTCTAAAAGATCCATAAACGTGTCTCAGTGATTAAAAAAAAAAAGTTTCATCAACACAGATCAAAATGCAGTTTGAGTGAGGGTTACACATAAACTGCATCACAAGTAAATTACAGCATAGTCTCCACATACTGATGTGACTGTGTTTCCCCTGCACTAATGGCTATAAATGTTAAATGGAACGTCTTCTGTCATTATTTACTCACCCTCACGTCGAAAACCCTCATTTTGAAATCTGTGGCTTCTTTTCTTCTGTGGAAGACAAAAGGAGACATTTTAAGTGTTTATGTTGATACAATGAAAGTCAGTGGAGTGCACACTTAAGCTGCATGTATGATATTCATTGCTTATTTAATAATTTATTGCAATTCTTCATGGGAATTTGCATGAATGGCCAAAATTTTGTAGAATTGTCATTTGTAATAGTTGCTTTCTACATAGTGATTGCAGGAGCTGAGTAGATGGACAGTTTTTACAAATTCTGCAATCGCACTCAATATGATATAAAAAAACCTTGTGCATCTTGGTTCCTCTATTCACAGTGCTATTTTAGTCTGTTTTAAAGCACGGATTCTCTGCTATTTCGAGGGGTGTCATAAATATGACAAAGAAGGCTGATATATAGTGTACTAGACTATCACAACACAAAATCTGAAGAATTTTAACTTTTAAATGTTTACCGTGATTATACAGATGAACAGGTCAAGTCTATTGTATCATCAGCTCAATTCAAATCAGTTATAACTTTACATTGGTGCATTAAATATAACGCAGTGAGCTGATAAACAGTGTGATGCATTATACAAATTTGAAGTTTTGCCATTTTATTTTTATGGACTCACAGGTAAATGACTCAAAAAAGACTAAAGTTAAACCATTGCATCCTATGCATTTTGGTATAATATTATATATTGTTCTGAGCAAATTATTATAATTTTTTTAGTTTTAAAATTTACTGGCGGTTTACATTTTATGTTCATATCTCCACCTACTGGACTTTATTACGAAGATTGATCAGTGAGCCTAAATCTTTTCTGACATTGAAGGCTGATAGACAGTATGTTAAAGGGGTCCTATTATGCTCTTTTACAAAGTCTTGATTTTGTTTTGGGGGTGTACTAGAACATGCTCTCATGCTTGGTGGTTCGAAAAACGCATTACTTTTCACATAATTTACATTATTAAAATACCTTTCTCCCAAGACTGGCACAAACGGCTCGATTAGTTCCGGCTTTGATGAAGGTCCGCCTTCCGAAAAACAAAATGTGTTGTGATTGGTTAGCTATCCCAGTGCATTTATGGCGTCACAAGTGGGACAAAACAGCGCAAGCGCATGAACACAGCACGCAAGCGAATTACAGTACTGTGCGCACAGTGACAAAGCTCGCGCGTAAAATGTAAACCTAAAGAAATGGCAAATTCCAAACTCGAGCACAAAAAATATGATTGTGTACACACATCAGCACGCTGCAAGGACAAATAACAAAACTGTGAGCAGAACCCGCACAAGCAGAGCTAAACACGCGCGAGCTGAACCCTTCACGCACAGGAAGTTTTGAGTCAGGGGGAGGGGCCCAATGTATGCGTGTTGTGTTAACAAATGCTATTGGCTGCTGACCAAATCCTGTATTGATTGGCTGCTAGTCGTCTGACTGGCTGTTGATTGGCTGTTGTTGGCCTTCTCCTGACGAGACAGAAAGCCGGGGAGAATTGGAATTGGATGATGGCAGAGAGTAAAGAGGTAAGTTTTCTTTCTAAATGCCATTAAAGATATAGCTTTTAACACGATCGTTAACAAATCTAAATGTGTTATATATTTCCTTAGTCGGCAGAAGTGGTACATTGGAATGATGCACACACAGATTGATCAGCCAGAGAATCTTGAGGTTGCCAAAATGTGTTGTGATTGGTTAGCTGTCTCAGTGCGTTGTGATTGGCGAACAGCTTAGACGGTGTTTCAGTACTGCCACGCCCCTTGCTCCGTCTTTCAACAAAAGCTTTTTGGCGAATCCGGCACTGTACTCCCTCGTGATGTGGAAGCTGTTCTCAGTAAAATGCGAAGCGCACAATAGCAAATTGGGGTTATAATGCTCAGGGACAGAGTTAAAAAAAATACATTGCAACCACTGTTGGAGCATCCTGTCTTTTAGAGCCTGTCTATAGCTGGACATACTGTTTTTCCACGCAATTCTAAAAACTTCCAAGTTTAACTTTAATCCCAGGACGGCGGACACAAGTGAGCAGCTACCGCCCCCTCCAGAGGGGGGAGCTTGCTATAGCCTTTTTCCTCAGCGTCGTCAACGGTGGTGAGAGCTGCTGAGGAGGAGGAACTAACTCGGGCCAAATAGGGGGCTCACCACATCTTGGTCAGTTCGTGAACCACAGGCAAGAACGGGGCGGGCCGCTGGCAGGAAGGCGGCTGATGGCATCCCAGCAGGAACCACTCGTCTAAGAGGCTATGGGCAGGCTCATCTGGAGCCGACCACTCAAGACCTAGATCCTCCACCACCTTGGAGAGAACACAGATCAGCTCGTTGTCTGGTTTCGGCCGCGATGGTTGGGATGAAGGGAGGGCTTGGGCTCGTCGCCGGAAGCGCACCTTCATTCAGAGTCTTGACTCTTGGACATACTC